GTCCCGTGTCCGTGTCCGTGCATCATAGGGTAAGAGTACTCATGTCCATTTTGGGCAAGATTGAATATAATAGATTCATAAATTTTCAAAATGTTACGTTTTATAATTTTTTTATTTAAATAATAATATTTTAATATTTTTACCGTCAAATACATATTGGTTGGTTTGAGTAGTTAGCGAATGTGGGAAGTCTATTGCAAAGTATATAAAAGAGAGTTATTAATCGAACAATTTCAGTTTCTTTTTTTTATACATTTTGCAATAGACTTCCACATCAGCTAACTACTCTAACCAACCAATATGTATTTGACACCTCACTCCTACAATTACACACCATTTTACAACACTACCCACACCAATATCAACTACTAAACAATACCACTGACATATAAATACCGACATGCAACACGAGCCATGTCCGAAACCTAACAAAAACCTAAAAAACACGATATCATCTATAAGGAATTTAAAGTAAGAAACAGAGAAGAATAACGGAAGAAGCAGAGAAGAGGAAGATAATTGGGTTTTAAAGTTGCTGTCCTTTATTGATTGCCGAAAAGCTTCTTAAATAGAGTCTAATAACAACGTAAATTTGAACTATTGATAAGAATAAAATCTAATATCTAATCCTGATTAAAGATAGACCTAATGCTAATTAAAATAAGAACAAAATGTGTATTATTTTAAAGGATATAAAATTGTGTCATTTTAAATGAAAAAGAGAGATAAATTATGGAGAAGAGAGAGCGGAATAAAATAAAAATAAAAATGTGGATTCCACCTTTTTGTAAAAATGAAACGATACAAGTTATATCATTTAAAAGAACAAATATTTCTTCCTTCGAATAAAAAATAACAGTCTAGACTTAATTCAAATTGGATACAGCTGTTACATCTAATGCATCAGGTCGTTTTTGTATTTTTCTGGAAGAACTCTTGCACGTTTGGGCTTTATAGCCTTTGAGCCTGCCATATCTGTAATTGTGGGTTGAATAGCTGCACTTGGATCAAAAGATTGTGCATCACCATCCCTTCGTATATGCTGATAAAAAAAAACTTAGAAGTTTAATGTTATATCTTACAATAACCATTTGATTTGATTGTGTGAAAGCATACAACATCACGACTTTATATTACTTGAAAGTGGAATACAATTTTTTGGTACATTTATACAATTCAATATATCAAATCCAGCTAGAATATATATATATATATATATATATATATATATATATATAGACACACAACAAAAAAATGATCCAACTACATATAACTATATTTGGCATAGATACTAACATATAATTATATTAGTATGTTATTAATTTGAGCCTTGGCATCCTGCAAATTATTAATTAGAGCTTCACTAGGATCAGAAATAAACCTTTTTGCCAATTTAATATGACCAAAAAGTTCAACCGAGTGAATTATATTTTATCTTTAAAAAATTAATGACTTAAAGATTTATAATGATAAATATGAATTGACCTCATTTATTTTCTTATAAGTTGTTACTAATTATATTTTTTAAAAAAAATATAATAATAATAATAATAATAATAAATTTAAGCAGGATTAGACATGGTATCTCATTAGTGTCAGAAAGACATATTACCTACTAATAAATTCTTCACATCGAATAACGAGTTTGAACCAACGACTTAGTGAGGTATAGACCAAATCCTTAGCTAACTGTGTTCATTTTTGTTGGCAAAAAAAAAAAAAAAATTTATTTGATACTCTAGAAAATATAACTTGCTTAGCTTGCACTTTATTCTTTAACATGTATCCGTTACACTATTAGCTTGCAGATTCACTTCCCCTCAGTATTGAAGCGAATTGATCCTTTATTTTTAGGAGTTACTAATGCCAATTCAAAATCATTTATTTGCTATATTCTATTTCGGTTCTCAAGCTGTAATTGGTCCTTCGATCTACAGTTGTAGAATAACTGACAAGGTAGGAATAAATCGTCGTATGTACATCGCACCAGAGTGTGACACATCAATCAATAAGTTTATGAAAAGAAAGAGAAAAAAATTATAATTAAATAATTAAAAAAATATGTGTCATTTTAAAGGAGGTAAAGTTGTGTCATTTTAAGAGAGAGAAATAGATAGATAAAGGAGGGAAGAATTGACAAAAAAAATAAAGGTGTAGGTCCCACCTCTTTGTGAGAGTAAAATGATATAAGTTGTATAATTTAAAATGATAAACATTTTTTTCTTAATAATCTCCAAAATATAAATAAATTTTTAGTGCATCAGATACATCGAAAGATATTGTGACACGTGGACAAAACACATAATATCATCTACTTTTTTTTTTAATAAATAATGTGGAGAAAGATTATACTTACAACTTTTTTTTTACAACCATATCTTAACACTGTTCATTTCCGCCAATCAACGGTTATGATTTTGACAAATTAAACTCATTAATTAATTATTAATTCACAATAAATTATAACCGTTGATTGACAGAAATCAACGATATTAAGATATGATTATAAGAGGTTATAAAAAAAATGTGATATATTTTATTCACATGTCACAAAATAAATAAATAGATGTACTAAATTCAGTGCATTTAATCCATTTATTACTGAGGCTAGCAACGAAGATTTGTTCCGTCCGTAGATTGAAACCATTGAAAATATCGACTATTATATGAACAAATAATGAGGAAATCAGTGTGTGCATCGATGTCGTGAATTAGTTGTATCTGTGGCCCCACCGCATGCAGAGCAAGCCAACGGTAGCCGTCCAAGGTAACGGTTCAATCGTTTGAAAAACAAAAAGAATAGAATTAAAAAAAGAAGAAGCTAATGTTTGAAATTGAAATGAAACCAAACCAGTTGTACATAATATTCGACCAATCATGTGGCACAGAGAAACTATCCTGTCCACCATTCATTGGTTGGACGAGGTATCCATCCATTCTCATTCTGTACAGCTAGACAACTCTCTGCTCTGTAACGTGCTCACAATATTATCCCTACACGTGTCATCCATCAACGGCTAGTAATCCCCTTCTTCTCTCACTATATTGCTAGCCAAGAGTGGCTCTTGTTTTTGCCAAGATTCTCCCAACCATTTAACCAAAGCAACCTTTTTTTCTCTTTCCTACCTCTCTCTCTCTCTCTCTCTCTCTCTCTTCACCAATTATAAACCAACCTTGGCTTTAGATTTGTTTTCAGTTTCAGATTGTGTTTTGTTGCAATGGAGGTGTTGAGATTTCAGGTTTTGGTTATGTGCATTGTGGCTCTTGCTTTGGCTTTTGTGGTACCATCCATCAATGCTGAGGCCCCTGCACCTGCCCCTGCTCCTACAAGTGATGGTATGCCCTTTTAATATCATTGTTCAAAGTTTTTATTTTTCTTACTTAAAAAAAAAAAAAAGTTTTTATTTTTCACATATCATGATTAATTGCTATTTCCCAATTTCCATTGGGGTTGCTGGGATGAGTTGATAAGTAATTTGTGGCTGATGATGATGATTTTTTGTTGCAGTGGTAGCGGTGGACCAAGGAATTGCTTATGTGCTAATGTTGCTGGCTCTTGTTCTTACTTATATCATTCATTAACTGGGGGCAGACCTGAATCACCGGATTCATCTAGTGACTATGATTAGTTTTCTTTTTTTGTATTTATTTGTTTGACCTCTATTCTTTTCAATGGAATTCTTTTTTTTTTATTTGTATGTCTCTATGAGTCTTTCCCTCTCTATCTTTTTATTTGTGCAGATTCGTTAATTTAATTAATTGGAATGGAAGATGTAGTGATTATTAATCTACCTTGTTTTCCTAGTTCAACCCTGCATGATGAGTTGTAGAAATAGAAATCTCTTGTGTAAACAAATTTTGGCAGAATGCCATAGTTGGTACTTTTATGATCAGAATAAGCAACTTTTACTTTGGGACTTTTTAGGTTCCTTTTGTTTTAGGGAGAAATTGTTGTACAATGTGATATCTCCACAAAACAACTTGCAATGTTAAATTCGTCTTCGGTTGCTACGAGTCTGAGAGTTGACGACAAACCCAACTCTCTCTAAATATGATGAAAGCAAAGTTGTTTATTTCATCTTGACATAAATTTTATTCTTTTTTGCTTTGAGAATTTTAATTCAAAATTATCATTCACCCAAAAAGCTCCACAATTTAATGCCTTCTTTTACATTTAGAAAGCCTAAAACAAAAGAAAATTGATTTTGAAGTTACCTCTACATGTTAGGGGTGTTCTGAATTTGAAATGGATAGAGTTTTTGAAATGCTAGGATTCAGTGGCATAACACTCGTGGCACCATGTCAAACACAGGTGTCAATTTGTAATTCTCTGAAGTATCATAGCAATAGGGTATACCACAGAATGCCATTCGAACTGTTTTTGGGTTCAAATACTACCAGGGTAAACACCTTTATCAAGTGAAAAGCTTAACTCAAATGACAGATCCGGATGAGGAACAAAAGACATGCAAATAGAGACATACAAACTCAATTGCATCCGTTTTAATTTTCACTTTGACAATTATGCTCTTAGTTAACGAGATGGTACATGGAAATAGGGTACAATATAATGACACAAGTGCATACCATTACTCCAAAGACTTGCCAACCAACGCTGCTAGAGAATTGAATTCATTAACACTATATCACAATTACTTAAATCATTATTCGTATAAATCATACTAAAAATACACCGATATTTGAAAACTGCATCTAAACATGTCCATAATTATATTAAGTCTGATGTTAGCTTCTCTGGTTTGAATCTGGCAACGGCCAAGACACCCAATATTCTGAGTTACACATCCAGAAGATGTCAACGTCCATGGAATAATAGATGTAACAATTATCCAACTTTTTTTTTTAAATCATGTCTGTCAAATCCATAATCAAAACAATATTAGGTTTTCTAACTTTTTCAGCGCCTTTATTCTCAACCTCAAATGAACTATCCTTGCGTCTTTTAGAATAATTTAGGATATTAAAATTCTCTTCTACATTGATTAAATTGATGATGACAAATGTTAAACACCACCAAACAGAATATAAGAGCCAAATGCATCAATATTTGATAAGTACATATTTAAAAAGGGGGTTCAAACTCATCCAAGAGAAAAGTAATGAGTTTTGAAGGGGACTTTTATGTTCAATTTTTTTCACCTTTTATATATACATAATACATCCTCTGGTCTGTTCAATAATTGCACACATAAGCAAGTAGAAGAGAAGCAGAATTCTCTACATCATAGTGGTTACATTTCTTCATGGAAGCCACTAGTCTTCACGCACAACAATGCCTGCAAAATTCAGGCTAAATCAAAGCCAGCGGCAAAACCCATAAGAACTACCTAAAATAAGATTCTCTTATTTTTTCTGACAAGTAATCTTAGGCAATTCGTTTCAAACTATGATACAAGTTCACTCAACTTCACAAAAGTTTATATTCCAACATGAAAATGGCCCATACGCAAACCATTTAACTGTCATGTTAAATGCAACATTAATTCAATTAAAACAAACTAATACATAGATAACAATACAAATGTATTATTGTATTACAGCTTCGAAAAGAGACCTGTTCAAAGTGCCATCTCGGCCTGCAAAGCTGCCAACTCATCATCCTCAGGAGTGGGCTTCGCAGGAACAGGGCGAGTTGGTTGCCGCCCAGCTGGGACCTGCACTGGGGCCGCAGGAGCTGTAGTTGCTGGCTGAAGAAGCTGTTCTTCCAACTCAGCACCCTCCAGTTCTTCAAGTTCCGCTTCCAATTCGTCCTGCAAAGGGAAAGAAATTCAGAATGCTCCACGGAAATCAAAAGATACAAATATCCTGTTCGCAACCATTATAGCACAAATAAAATAAACGTTTCAAAAAGTGACCTCATCAAAATCAGCAGCTGCACCAATTGGAGCTGACAATGCTTCCTGAATCTGTTTCATGTTCTCAGTCTGTTCATTGATCTCATCCATGGTCTTGTCAACATCATCAATATTCCTGAAAAAATTGTCATAATCAACAGTTGATTATATAATATAAGCCGGAGCATGAAGTTGAGAAGTAAGAAATATAAGAAAATATGAACAGGGAAATCACTAAATCTATTATAAAAGAAATAGTGCTACATACGTTGCTTTTTGCATAGCCTTCATAGCAGATGCTCCGGTTCTTAACGCATCTACTGTTTCTGTGGTGGCTTTAGCACCTTCCAACATTATCATCTGACACAAATGACCAGCATAAGATGCAAAAGAAGCTCAATAAACTGAATCATCATCTGAATTGTTGATGTATAAAAAATTGCATTCGCACCTGGTCATGAATACGCAACTGGAAATTTCCGAGCTGCTCTATTTGCTGTTCATATAACCTCTTCCTCTTCAAACATTGTATTGCCGCTGCATTAAACAAAAACTCAAAAATGCATGTCACCATAAAAATGAAAGTGGGAGAAAAAAAGTGCACTCTGAAGATATTCTCTAGAACAAGTACCCATGGGTTATGCAACCTACCCCTTTTGTTCTTTGCCCTAGTGAATTCTTTAGCCTTCTCAACTTCCGCGGCAGCCTTTTTTTGGAGTACTTTATCCTTCTTCTCTAGCATTTCAAGCGTCTACTTGATTCAAAGAACAAAATATTCAATTAAGAAATTCTCTCTCAATGTGTAGATTTAAAAAAATTCTAACAATAAATTTTGCACAAGTCTATAGTTGCATGATGCAGCAATATTTAAATAAAAAGCATTGAAATACAAACCAAACAAAATTTAATGAGAAAAACTCAGATAATCAGTCCAGCACTAGCTACCATATCAAAGCTGTGACTCAGAAGAAATGCAAGCATATTCTGGTATTGATGTGATAAATTTGAAAATACAGAGATGTATGTTTAGCTATGAACAAGCAATTTCCATATATGCAATGGAATAAAACCTTCATAAAACATGTCTTCTGTTCTCACGTAATCTTGTTAAACCAATTAACTAAAGGTTTAATTGGGATAAGGAGCAATTGATATTCAATACTCACAGCATGCAGAAAACCCATTTTGGTTCATAGTTCATAGCTCAAGAGTACAAGGAATCCGAGTTTCCATGAGGAAAACACAGCTTATTCAGTGTCAATCATGTCAAGATAACGATTAAGAGAAAACTAGAACAACATAACTTATTCAAGTCAAACAGTTATGTTCATCACATAGCTTAGCATGAAAAAATAAAAAATAAAAAAAAATCATCGAGTGGGAAAATGAAGAATGACTATATTTATGGAAAATCAAAGGCGAATTACCTCGCTTAACTTGTCCAAAGTTGCTACAGCATTGGTTTCCTGTTTAGGTTTACCAAACATGCGGTTAAACATGATTACGATTGATTGAAACCCTTCTGTGTCACAAAGTGATAAGATCTCTCAATTCGTCAACCGATCTTCCAGAAACACTGAAAATCCAATCAAAACCGAATCATTTTAATCGCAAAACCAATGATATTGCAAAAACAAACAAACGAATAATAATAATAAAAAAATAAAAAAGCAGAGATGAACGAACCCAGTTGAAAAATTAGATTTTGGAGTGAGAGTTAGATAGAAAGATTAAGGCTTGAGATCTGGGAAGATAGAAAAAGCAAAAAATCTCAGAGACCGGTTGGTTTTGGTCTATTTAGCTTAGGCGTGTTGTTTTGGTGTTTGAGGTTCGATTGGAAATGAAGAGAGAAATAACCTCGAAGATCCTCGTTGGTCTCTTGTTCACCTCCACGTGGCGCGCACTACTTTTCTCTGTCAATTTATTTATCCAACTAGTATATTACCCGTATCCACGGAAAAAAGATGAAAATATTTGTCGTCCGCCGTAATTGGTTAATCGCACTGCAAATTTTATACTTATAAAATCTGTATTGCTATCTTATTTTTTTGCAAGAATTTGTGTCTTAGTATTTAGAATTTTATAAATTTGTATTTACAAAACTTGAAATCTGAATTAGGAATTTAATTATAAAAGAAGAATAGTGAAATTTTAATTTAATTATTAAAACGTGTTGGCATGCGGGGCGGGAAGGCCTTCTGGGCAAGCCCAGATTGCAATCTTTAAGTATCAGTATTTTATGTAAATAATTATTTTTTTAGATGGATCTGTGTCATTAGTATTTTGAATTTTATAAATTTGTATTTACAAAAATTAAAATCAGATTTAGAAATTTGATTATAAAAGAAGAAGGATGAAATTTTAATTTAATTATAAAAATATGTTGGTGGGCCTGTCACCTCTAACTATGAGCATACAATACATTTTTGTATTTATCCACACAAAAATGTTCTTATAGTCACATTTAGGTTTTTACATTTTATCTCATAGATGGGCTTTCATTTATTACAATCAGATTTAAAAAATAATAATAAATAATTATTTTTTGCAAGGATTTGTGTCTTTTGTATTTGAAATTTTACAAATTTGTATATACAAAAATTGAAAGCAGATTTAGGAATTTAATTATAAAAGAAGAATAATAAATTTTAATTCAATTATAAAAACATATTGGCGGGCCGGCCCTCCGGGCCGAGCCCAGTTTGTCACCTCTAACTGTCAGCATTTTATATCAGCATGTAATAGGTTTTTATATTTATCCACACAAAAAAAGATTTTTATAGTTATCTATCTATATTTTCTATAGTTGTCTCTAAATCGACTCTATGATATGTGTGTATTTGTGAAATATATATTAAACGAAGAGTTAATAAATATTTGAGTTGAAGATGAATATGGTAATATCAAAATACCATTCATTAGCTTAATTGAATAAGTATAAATAATTATTCCTGTTATCAAAAAAAAAAAAAAATTATTCCCAAAATTAACATATATATATAAGCATATATTGAATGCATGGTATTTAATCTCAATAATACTTCAACTCCACCAATAATAATTTGGTGAAGAATATGAAGAGTCAAGTACTCATTGGGTTGGAAACAACTATAGCATTAAAATAATGATATACATCAAAACATTGAATGATCATTCCTTTTAATTGAGTAATTAATAAGAATAAATAATTATTTTTTTGCAAGAATTTGTGTCTTTAGTATTTGAAATTTTATAAATTTATATTTGCAAAAATTGAAATTATATTTAGGTTTTTAATTATAAAAGAAGAAAGGTAAAATAGCCCTCCGAACCGAGCCTAATTTTTCACCTCTAACTGCTAGCATTTTATATATATAATTATTTTTTTTGCAAGGATTAGTGTCGTTAGTCTTTGGAATTTCACAAATTTGTATTTATAAAAATTGAAATCAGATTTAGTAATTTAATTATAAAAGAAGAAGGATAAAATTTCAATTGAATTATAAAAATATATTGGTGGGCCGGCCCTCCGGGCCGAGCCCAGTTTTCAATCTCTAACTGTCAGCATCTTTTATAAATAATTTTTTTTGCAAGAATTAGTGTCGTCAGTCTTTGGAAGAATATTGAAGACACAATATTGATTAGATCATATATGTAAATACGTCAATCTGAATAATAACTTTTAGTAAGCCGCGAAAACCTGTTAGAAAAAAAATGCATAATGTCAAACAAAAAGATATGACTTTAAAGAATAATAACTTAGGGACGTAAAATTGATTTTTCACACCTTTTAGTAAGAATATCTGGGTAGCCTCTTCCTTGTAAAAAGATAGAATTCAAAATCATCTCGTCGACTTTGCTCTACAACTGACCTGCAAAAAAAAAAACAAAAAATATTACACGTTCATCTAATAGAAGAACAACTTGAGAAAGAGAAGAGAAAAATATGTGCACAGAAGCTGATTACCAAATAAAAAGACCCAGCAACACATTTTATTTATACAGGAAATAATTTTGTTACTTTACAATATTTTTTTAATGTTTTTTTTTGTTTTATGCAGCATTAATAGGACTAACAATTACCTAAGCAAAAAGTAGTGGGTTATACAACAAAAGAAAAGTAAAGGTCTTTTTTACTTATAATCTATATATATATATATATATATATATATAAAGGAAAGTTCAATGTTGGAAACTTTGCTGATGTGTCACTTCCTACTTAATTCTGAAAATTGTGTTCACACTACATGTCATATAAAAACTTTCCTTCTTTAGTAAATTGGAAAAAGAATTTCTTTAAAAAATCGATTTTTTTTTAAATCAAAAAATAAATGACCATTTGTAGTGGCAGAAAAGGCATTGAATGTCCCACTACCCATCACATTGGAATTGGTCAGCTGATTTAATTGCTTTTTACATTGTAATTATTACTCAGCTGATTTAAAATTCGAATTTTGAAATGATTTGAAATTTTGAATTTAAAATATGGATGGTGGGAAGCGATTTGGAAAGTTTTGAATTTAAATTATTACATTGGGAAAAAACTCTTGCTACAGTGAATAGTTTTTGCCCGTGTTTTCTTTCTTCGTTCGTTTTTGTAGCTGGTGTTGTATTTTTTTTGGTTCCTTTATAAACAAATGATCTTAATTCGTTTTCATTTTTTGTATACTAATTTTCTTTTGATCGTTTTGTGTTCTGTATAATGATTCTCTTTTTTTGTTTTTTCAGGGCAGAAGGTTTCTTGCTACTGTGAATAGTTTTTGCCTGTGTTTTGTTTCTTCGTTCGTTTTTGTAGCTGATGTTGTATTTTTTTTTTTGTTCCTTTATAAACAAATGATCTTAATTCATTTTCATTTTTTCTATACTAATTTTCTTTTGATCGTTTTGTGTTCTGTATATTGATTCTTTTTTTTTTATTTTTCAGGGCGGAAGGTTTCTTGCTACTGTGAATAATTTTTGCCTATGTTTTGTTTCTTCGTTCGTTTTTGTAGCTGATGTTGTATTTTTTTTTGGTTCCTTTATAAACAAATGATTTTAATTCGTTTTCATTTTTTGTATACTAATTCTCTTTTGTATTATGTATACTTATTCTCTCTTTTTCGTTTTTTAGGGTGGAATGTTTCTTGCTACTGTGAATATGTTTTGTCCTGTATTCAACGTTTTCGATGCTGTGTAGTGCTTTCTTGTGTTTTTTTGTCTTCAACGTCTTCGATGCCTGTGAATAGTTTTTTGTCTTGCTGCTGAAAAAGAATTTGTAACCGATGGATAAATTTCTAATAGCATAACATATTAATTTCATTTTTTTTACAGAGTGTTTCTTCATTGTGTTGTGTTTGGGGCTCTTATTTTCTGTACCCAGAAAATAATTATTATTTCAACTTCTCATATTGTAGTTGTCTTGATTCATAATATCAAATTCAAATTTCTAAAGTATTTTCAGCTTTGTGTTCACACCCACAAGAGTTTGAAATGTTTCCTATTATAATACATTTTCAAATTTTTATTTTAACTTTAAATTTAAAAACTCAATTAAGATCTCACTAACTCCTGCATTGTATTTGTCAGGCCTATTAAAATCCCACTAACTTTTAAAATTCGAAATTTAAACTTAATATAGGAGTAAAAAAAGTTCAGCATTAATTAGTGGCAAACATCTATATTAATACCCCCACTACTTCTTACCAAAAAAAAAAAAAATACCCACACTACTTTTTCAAAATTCGAATTTTAAACATAATATAGGTAGAAAAAGATTTCAACATTAATTAGTGGCAGACAATTGTATTAATATCTCATTATTTTCTACATAGAAATCAGAATAATAATATTTATTGAAAAGTGTATATTAATTTAATACAAAAAATATGTTCAAAAAACCTCCTTTAGTTTGTTGAAAAGTTCATTAATGTATGTTGATTGAATAAAATTAAAACGAATACCAATTCCCTAAATTTTCAACATTTGAATTTATTGATGATTTTAATGGTCAGATAACGTATGCTACAATTAAAGTTTACAATCAAATACAAGTGAATGCATTAGTATTTCTTATCAATGGAGTTATATAATTGTGACACTCGGTACACAAATAATACAAAACGATAAGAAATTTTCATACAAGTATTTTTTTAAGAAAAATATTTAACGTAAACGTTTTAAATTTATATGTATAACCAATTCAAAAAAGTATAAAATTATAAATTAAACAAAAAAATTAATTTTTTAAAGAATATTTATAATTAATTCAAAAGAATTTAAATTTTAAATTTTAATAAAATACAAATGACATCTATCATTTTGTAAAAAATAAATTATAAAAATTTAATCACTACAAAAATATAATTTAATATATAAGAAATGAATTAAGCTTTTATTTTTTTGATGTAAGAGTGTAATTAACACAATTTTCTATGTCGTGAGTGAATAACTATAAGTTATTGCTTGGAGAATATGCACGGTTTTTTATACATATTTTCCATTACTTTTTGTGAAGGAATTTAAGTTTATTAATAATATTATTATTATGTCTATTGAGTGAGAAAAAATTTTAATATTTAAAATTCAAACTTTTAAATTTAAATTTTGAATTTGATAGGTGAAAAAATAGTTCATCATTTAATGTTTCTACAGTGTAAAAAGAGATATATATAATAAATTTAAATAATATAAAATTATAGATTAAACAATAAAATATTTAAAATTATAAAAATACATTTATAGTCGATAAAAATTATTTAAAATTTCAAATTTAAAAGAAAAAAATGAAATGGCATAATTTATACTTTACAAAAAATAAATTTAAATTTTAACATAAAAATATACATGTATAACCAATTAAAAAAATATATAAAAATCATAAATTAAGA